ACCCGGCCCTCCTCCGGGGGAGGGAGAGGTGCATTCACCATCCCCCAAAGAGCAGTTCGCTCCCTCTCTGGGTCGCCCGTCCCGGGGTCTCTTTCTCTTCCGCTCACCGGAAGATGGGTGGAGACAGCAGCTGCCCGCCGGGACACAGACACAGCCCGAGGTGACGCTCCTGGACCACAAGTGTGGACATCGCACAACCCAGAGAACTCGCAGTGACCTTCGCAGCGCAGCCGAATCTTCCTCTCCAGAAAGCTCCGGCTCACCCTCCGATGCAGCGATCGACATCCGGTCGTCGGGAGGAGTGCCAAGGATACTGCTTGTACACTCCTTGTAGAGGGCCCAACACGTTCCTTTGGCAGCTGAACTGGTTGCGGAGTGCAAGAGGAGCGAGGGTCCCCTGAGGGTTGGTTCCCTGGAGGGGTTTGCCATCACTGTTACCCTCAGACTGCCCGTGCTACTGCCTGAAGTAGCCCTCGCCTGACTGCCGCCATGACGAGAACCAGATCGAGGCAGAGGCAACAGATGTCCACCCCTTTTGAGGTAACAGAGCTTGGCCCGTAACTCCGAGATGGTCATCTTCCCGCAATGAGAACATGACTCATCCACGAACGCCACCTCAGCATGCTTAATGCCCAGACACGTGAGGCAGCGATCGTGACCATCACCCGATGCCAGATAACGACCGTATCCAGAAACGCACGGGTGACTCATTGTCTGTAGCAAGACGCAACGTCGTCTTTAAAAAGACGCACCCGTGAATGCTCTTTTAGGGAAAAAGCACTTTCAGCGTGCTGAAGCGCACAGGGGAGATGGCTGCCTGCAACACAAACAGGGGGTAGTGCAGCCTGACGTGTGCAACCCACTCGACACGGGAAACCACCGCTGAAGCGCCGTACCGCTAACACCAAGAGCTCCAAAGAGCGCGCTGAACTATCATCGCATGCCAATGTGCATTGGCTCGTTTAGTTTACACTCGAAGTAGATTGGTCTCTTGAAGTGAGATCCCAATTCGTCGGTCACAACGTGACTCATAGTGACCGACTGAAAGGGAACTTCAGTGTTGACATGGTTATTTTGTTTTATTTTTATTAAAGTTATTTTATTATATATATTTTTAGTATTTATTATAGTTTTTATTCTTTTAATATCTTGAATTAGTTTGTATAGTTTTTATAAATGCTTATTAATATTTAGAATTTGGTTTTATTTTTGTGTTTTCCGTTTTCATTTTGTGTTAACTTTAGTAATTTTGTTGTGTGTTTTTGTCATTTTTTTTATAACCCATGTCCATATAGTTTTTATTACTTTTTATTAATATCTACATTTGTTTTTATTTTTATATTTTCCATTTTTAGTAATTTTGCTGGGTTTTTGTCATCTATATATATATATATTAGTGCTGTCAATCGATTAAAAAAAACGAATTAATCGCACATTTTTCTGAAATTAATCGCGATTAATGAGAAGTGTTGCTTTTGCAGCTATCTGAAATAATAGCTGTTATAAAACATTTAATAACTAGCCTTTTTAAAATATTTCCTTTTAGTTAGCGTTATTTTTACGTCAAGTAATGCAAATGTTTTTTAATGTTTTTTTTTAGTTTCAGTTAACGTTAATAACCCAGGCTACTGGAAAAGCTTCACTACTTTAAAAACACAGTGGACTTAGTAGTGTTGCAACCACAACACATGTATTCAGATCATTTGTTGAACTGGTTCTGTCTGTGTCTCAGTCATTCTGACAGACGAGGAGGTGCAGAGGAAGAAGGATCTGATCCTGAAGAGGAAGGAGGAGGAGGCGGCGGTGCGGGAGGCGCGGAAACCTCGTCTGAGCGAGGAGCAGATGCAGATCATCAACACACTGGTGGAGGCGCATCACAAGACCTACGACGACTCCTACTCCGATTTTGTCCAATTCAGGGTCAGTTCAGACTCCTTCATAAAGTCTCTGCTGCTCACCAAGGCTGCATTTATTTGATCCCAAATACAGTAAAAACAGTGAAATATTATTATAATTTAAAATAACTATTTTCTGTGTGAATATATTTTAAAATGTAATTTATTTCTGTGATCAAAGCTGTATTTTCAGCATCATTACTCCAGTCTTCAGTGTCACATGATCTTCAGAAATCATTCTAATATGTTGATTTGCTGCTCAAGAAACATTTCTGATTATTATCAATGTTGAAAACAGTTGTGCTGCACAATATTTTTAAAAAAAAAATTTTTCAGTTATAGTTATTTTACTACTTCTGCTTAAATTTAATGGAGATTGGAAATAAAACTAGCTGTTTTTTAATATTTTGTTTGATTTCAGTTAATGTTGTTTTATTTCGTCATTCGTGCATCTTCAGAAGTCTAACTGGTTCTGTCTGTGTCTCAGTCATTCTGACAGACGAGGAGGTGCTGAGGAAGAAGGAGCTGATCCTGAAGAGGAAGGAGGAGGAGGCGGCGCGGGAGGCGCGGAAACCTCATCTGAGCGAGGAGCAGATGCAGATCATCAATACACTGGTGGCGGCGCATCACAAGACCTACGACGCCGCCTA